GGGTGGTTGTCGGTTATGACGATTTTAGGGAAACCCATGTAAGGCGCCCATCTCGTCAAAAACAAATGTACTGCCGCATCCGTCGTGCCATCCGGTGAAAACGCCGCGACCAGGTATCGGGTGGCGTGGTCGATAATGACCAAGATTCGACTGCAATCGGATCCGTACTTGTCCATGACTACAAAGTCCATGCTGACCACTTCTCCCATTACAGGGCGGTTCAGAGTCCTGGACGGATGACGGTCCGTACTGATGGTACGGTGTAGGGCGCATGGCACGCAAGCACGGATGTGTTTCCGCAAGTCCTCGTATAGGGATGGCCACCAAAGTAACCTCCGACACCTTCGGACGCACCTGTTGAAGCCCGCGTGGCCCGTATGCGGCGCCCCATGCAGTAGATTGAGAGCTGCAGGTCTACATTCCGGTGGTACGAATACCGCACCGGTGGCCCTATGAAACCATCCTTGGTCGGACTTCTCCAAGTGTGCGAGCTCCGCTGCGGATGGTTTGGCGTTCCGAAGGCTCAATGGCCCAATGGGAATGGGCAGCTGATTATACAGGACCGGTACCGAAATGCGGTCCAACGTGGTGTCATGGTCGGCGGGGAGTCGGCTAAGCCAGTCGGCCATCATGTTGCTGGCTCCGGCAATGTGGTTGAAGGTTAGGTCGTATTCTGACAGTCGAAGGCGCCAGCGGTATAATTTGCCGTTTCCGGTGGTGTCAAGTGCCGTTAGTGCTGCGTGGTCCGTAAGTACCACGACAGCCTCCCCTGAGATCAAGTTGTGTAGTTTCTCCACGCTCCAGACGATGGCATACGCCTCTCTCTCCGTGGCAGACCACTTTCGTTCGGTATCCGAGAAAACATGGGACAGGCATGCGATGAGCTTGATTTGTTCCTGCTGTTGTTGGAGAAGCACGGCTCCGAGACCAACCAGGGAGGCATCAGTCATTAGCACGTAGCCGCATCCGGGTCGCGGCATGGTGACGGCCACCGCATGAAGGAGACTCTGTTGGATGTGTTTGTATGCCTGGATTGCTGATGTGCTCCATACGAACTTTCCTTTCGGAGATGCGAGCGCGAAGAGCGGTGTTGCATCAATGGAAAATCCGGGAAGGTGCGGGGATACAAATTGAGCGGCTCCCAGAAACCGTCGGAGTTCCTCTCGTGTTTGCGGGAGTGGTCCTGAAGCTAGTGACCTTAGCCTCTCGGGATCGGCTCTGATGGTTCCGTGACCGATGACGCAACCGAGAAAAGGGACCTCCTCTTGGAATAGTGCCAGTTTGTCTCGCGCCAGGGTGAAGTGGTGTTTCCTCAGTCGGTTCAAAACCTCCAGGAGAGTTGTGGTGTGTGCAGAGATGGAATGGGTGCCGATTATGATATCGTCCATATATATTTTGACATGGCCCCCTTCGTAGAGATCGGCGAAGACCGAATCCATCACCCTTTGAAATTCTGTTGGGGCGCACTTATGTCCTTGTGGTAGGACGGTCCATTGGTAATGATGACCCGGACCCAGAGTGAATCCCGTGATCTTCTCACTATCTGGTGATATGGGCAAGTGCCAGAACGCACTCTTCAGGTCCAGTTTGGAGAAGATTTTGGCTCCCGCGAAAGATTGTAGGATGCTGGCTAGGTGCGGAAGTGCCGAGTAGGAGTTGGATGTTTGTAGGTTAGCCATTCGGTAGTCAATGACTAGCCTGGGCTCTCCGTCCCTCTTCTTCACTATCAGAGCTGGTGAGGCCCACGCCCCTGGTTCGGCGGGTTTCACCATCCCCTTATCCATCAGGGGCCGCAATACAGTCAGGGCTATCGCCCTGGTTGGTTCGTTCATGGGGCGGGTGCGTGTTCGAGGTGGTTCACCCCTGGCCCGAAGCTCAATAGGTGGAACATCAGCCACTCTAATGCCCTGGGTCAGCTCCTGGATAGCCTCATTGATGGCCTTGGCTTGATCGCCATCCACTCCAGAAGGTAGGGGTGGTAGCCAAGCCCCGGTCTCGGCGAGGAAACAGAGAGGCACCTTGGTGCCACAATTGGGAGTGGCCGTACGTTCCTTCAGGCATTTAGTAAGGCCAAAACGAAGCTGGTCCGGAAACCCTAGAAGCAAAGGAACTTCCGAGTCGACTACGTGTAGGGTCACCGCCTGAGTCGTTCGGCCGAGAGTTATGAGCGAACGTATGGTGCCTATCAAGGATGTTTGGCCTCCGAGACCATGGATGGGTGAGATGGCGGGAGCCAACGGTATGGTAGGAAAATGCTGACGGGTGAAGCTGAGTGGAACAACACTCACCTCTGCTCCCCCATCCAGCACGAGCCGATGTTCGAGGGAGTGAATTCCGGCCTCAATTCGTCCTACGCAGCATTCGAGGTTCCGTGGAGCCCGCCCGGTTATCTCAACGGATAGTGCCATAGGAACATCTGTGATCGCGTCAGGAGCTGAGGCTTTGGGGCGGAGTTTGGTTCCCAGCAGGTCGAATGCTCCCTGAACCGCGTTGCTTTTAGTGAAGGTACCCTGCGTGATGCTGAGTCCCTTTCGCTTCTGTTCGATTTCGGTATTCAGGGCCGGAATGGCAGCAGGCAAGACAACCTTCTTGCAGGCTGCGGCTATGTGGCCGGTCCAACCACACTCGGTACAGGTGCTACGTCGTTCGGCACATTGGTTTCTTTTGTGTCCCTTTTGTCCGCAAGATAGGCAGGCCCCTTTTGGCAAAGAAGGTGGTACTATCACTGGAAAGGCCACCGGGTTCGAAGTTTTGGGCGGCAAGAATGTGGACCGGCCCAAACGGCGTGCGTTGTGTATCAGCGTTCCCCAGTCCTCTAGGACCCAATCGGCGCTGGCATCTAGGCGCCCGGCGATGTCCAGTGGAAGGAGGTCCATGGTGAGGTGTTTGCAGTCGTACAGAGATAGTGGTAACGCCTCCTCGGCCGCGGCGTAGCTTGTCGAGAGGTTGAAGAAACCGCGGCACAGAGTTTCCTCAAACTCCTGATACGAATCTGCTCTCGGAAGGCCCATAGTTGCGCGGAGGTTTTGGTACGCAGCTGGGTATGCCAATTGGGCCACTCGAAGGACCTCGATGGTGGCCTCTTTAACGCTGCGTGCTTCGTCTACGGCGTTGAGTGCGCAGGCTGCCTGGCGACTCATGTGTCGCTTCGCCCACTCCCGCCACTGATCAAAACCGCAGCTGAGGCCTCTGAGCCTGTGCGTCCAGTCCCATCCCCATGTCAGGATGCTGTCCGGGGTCAATTGTTCGAGCGTTGGCCCTGGCTGCCGCGTGTCGTGTTTTTCGAATTTGAAGTCGGGGTTATCGCAAAACAGGACGTCGTGGCGTCCGATGGCCCGATAATATGGGATAAATCCCAGAGCGCTTTCGCTTTGGC